AATATGAGGGAAAGGCAGTGAAAGGTATTGGCACTGGAGTGCTGCAGCCTGGGTTTAAAATTGAAGAGTGGTCAAGTAATAAAGGGAGCTCTGGCATTAACCGAATCAAAGGAAAGTATCTGTCAGCCAAGAGATTTCAGAATTTCAGCCCCGCTCGTGATTTTCACCAAATAGCAGTTGCAAAAGCCTCAGTTTTCAAATTTTGGAACTTCTTATTTTGCACACTCTGTTTAAAAAGTGGTATGCTGCAGTATTCCCAAAAAGCTTTTGGGTTGTTTTTTCTTTCCTCATGAGACATAATGAGATTACGTTGCAACCATGCTGCCTCATAGGGGCTGTATTTCATACCCTTACTCCTGCTTGGAGTTAGATCCCTGAAAAGACTACATCTCCAGGTCAGTAAGGACTGACATGGCAGAACTGTGTGGTGAAGCTAGATGAATCATGAGACAGTCCAACAGAGAGAATGAAAGGCCAAAATGACAACTTGTATCAACACTATTTGAAAAGGAGCCATATTGTTGGTTTTCCATTGGTTCAAAACTAAATGTGTCAGCTCTGTTCAATAAAATGAAGTATTTTGTTTCTGGTCAGACAAATGAAAGTAAAAGATTTTTCTGGCAAAACTGGTTTTGGTGGACTTTTTTGGTTTTGTGGGTTTTTGTTGGTTTTTGGGTGTTTTTTTTTTTCCCTCCCCCCCGCCCCATGCACAACTTTCCAGCAGTAAAGAGAAATTCCCAGATAGCTCAAGATTTAGTCATTAGCCAGAATCATCTAGGCTGCACATTTAAATGGCTAAAAGGATGGAGCCTGGGTCCAGTAAGAGCTCAAATTAATTTTGCAATAAAGACAAGGGAATGCATGGAACAGCTAGTGTATCATGAGTGTCACACATGGGAATCTACCACTGGTTATCCCATTAAAAAAAAAAAAACAAACCAAAAAACAAACAACTACAACAACAGGACTTTTCAGATATTTTAGTAATGCGGCTACCTGAAACTTTAGCTAAGATGACTTTCTGGTATTGCAGTGGGAATAGTCTATGATTTTGTCACATTTAGGAGGATGATTTCCATTTACTTTCAAGGTTCTCTGTGCTTACCCATGTAAAAGAATAGTGTTCTTGAGATTTTAGATACTGTGAATTCTCAAATTAAGCATTCTTGTCCATCCAAATAACAAGATCCTATATGTGAATCCCCAGGAAAAGGTTTTGCAATGTGTAAAAACCTAGTATTTATCTTTTAAGGAGTTCATTCTTTTTTTCCAGGCATATTCTACTGTTGGAACCCCAGACTATATTGCACCAGAAGTATTTATGCAGACTGGGTATAACAAGCTGTGTGACTGGTGGTCTTTGGGAGTGATTATGTATGAAATGCTAATAGGTATGTTGAAGACCCCAACTTAAGAATTATTCAAAGGGTTCAAAGGTAACAGGGTCCATTAGTTCACCAAGTCTGATCCCCTGCATAGTGGAGGTACCAGAATTTCATTCAGTTCTGCCTGAAGTAAGCCCGAAATTCAGCTTCCAGAAAACTTTGAAGTCCTCCCACCTTTCCAAGACGACAGCAAGAGATGATGCCTCAGTTAGTTGTTTCAGTGAACAACTGTTCACTATTAAATGTTGTTGAAGTTCAGACTCGTTACTTGGAAGTAACGAAATAAGCTTTTAATGTTGCATTACAAAAAAGAAAACTTTTGGCTAGTACTACTTGTTAGATTTGGGAGTCATAGTGGCAAAAGCAGAGGCCCAGGTCACTTTCCTCTTCTGGGAAAAGCTTGTTAATTTTTCTATTTGTTTGTGCAGGGTATCCACCTTTCTGCTCAGAAACACCGCAAGAGACTTACAGGAAAGTTATGAACTGGAAAGAAACGTTGGTATTTCCTCCAGAGGTGCCCATTTCAGAGAAAGCAAAGGATTTAATTCTGAGGTCAGTAACGAAAGCCCACTTCTGGCCACTCACCCAGACATAGTCGTCTTCCATTAGGTTAACTTTCCGTTCTGCATGAAGGAAGCTTTAGATTGGAGGAAAAGTTGGTTTCTTCTGTGTCGCCACCCTTGATGGATTTTATTTTTTTTTTTTTTTTAGTCTTTTTCCCTTTGCCATTTGTTTAACATGAAGGAATAAGCTGTAATAATCTTGATTTGTACCACGGTATTAGGAGAAATATAGCAGACTGAAAAAAAAGAAGAAAAAAAGTGATTAACACACAGTTTTTCTCTTCTCAGAGGGAACTAGAAAATAACCACTCGCCAGCATTTAATGCACTGAACAGAAATCTTTGGATGTTTTGGATTTACTCACTTTTTCCAAAATGACAGTTTTTAATCCATTCAGTTTGCATTGAAGTTTTTGCGAGGGGTTTTGGTGTCAAGGTCAGGCGGAAATGCTCTCTTGTCCTGGGAGGTTTGGAGGGGTTTTTGTTTTTGGCTTTGATTTTTTTTTTTATTATTATTATTATTTTTTCCCCAAAGATAGTATTACAAGCTTACACAATTTTGTTACAGGCAAAAAGGGGAATGTACTTCATAGACAGAGCCAAGAACTAGAATTTATTATGAGTCCAAGCAGTGCTCCAGTAGCATACAACAAACATAACAAATACAACAAACAGTTATTCTTAATCCAGTTACAGTGATACTAACAGTTCAAATTATTTAATTATTGCTAATCCTCATTAATAGCTTGTGTATAACAGTTTTAGTACGTTTTCAGTATCTATTTCTCTAGTGTTCTGCTTAACCTTTCCTGCATGTTGTCAGCATCCCGAGATCTTTGCTGGAAAGAGTATGGTGTTGCTGCTGAGGATTTCTTCCTCCTCAGTCTTGGCTGTGTTTGGGGCATTTTTAGATATTTCAGGCAGTTTATTTGTTAACATAGCTTGCTCATGAATTTACTTATACAATTACTAACTTGAATTTATTAGTTTTTCTTCATATATGGAAGGATTTAAATTAGGGTAAAACATCTTTAGTTATAGACAACTTACTAAAATGAGGTCAAAACAGCAGGTCAGACAACAAACACCTGGCCATTGGGTACTTTGCCCAATACAGCTTGGACAAGTTAGACAACATATATTTCAACTTAAAGGAAGTTGCAGACAAAGCTAAAGTTTCCTTATTTTTATGGATACAGATAAAACCAAACTAAAATAAGCTCAGGTTCAAAGCCTGACAAATCCTGAGACCTGGTCTGGCTAACTGTTGTTACAAGGGTTGAGGTCTATTGTTAGTACTTGGCATCAACCAACTGGCTGGGCTGCAGTGGAAATATAAGCAGTTTGTTTTTTTTCCCAAGTGACACCCAACTACAAGTAAAAGAACATTACAGATTGTAATTGGAGACAGTTTATAGCCTAACTTGCTATGTTACTAAATTACCTGCTGAAAATTTCACTAACTAGCAAGAAGGTGACCTTTTTTGTATTGCAATGTATTGATGTGAAAAGTGCCTTGGGAATCTGGATGATGTGATCGTGTGGAGAGATTATGAGATCAGGATAACTAAATCAACAACCAGAGGCTTTGCTCATTTAGGCAAACGGGATTTCATTTAACAAAGGCCAGCTGACTTTTAGAGCAACAGGAGGCCCACATCCCTGTGCTACCAAGTACTCCCCATTTCCAGGAGGTCGTCAGGTGACTCCACACTTGGCAAGACCAAGCTTTTTGTTTGACATGGGCGTTTTTTCCTGTTATTGTAAACCTCCCTCTTCGTGTCACTGTTGACACCTTTTGCCATCCTCAAAGAGACTGCAAGGACAGTGTAAAAATATAAAGCAGTTATATCTTTGCTAACGCATACAAAAGATAGCTAGGATTTAATGAACTCCTAGGCTCAACATTGGTATGCTCACCATCTCCTTGACGACATACTTCAGAGTCTTTTCCAGCCAGCTAGGCATCAGTCCAGGCAGGCGTCAGTCCAGAGGAGAAGGGTCAGCCTCTGCTGCTCCCTGGAACAAATCCCTGATGTCACTGAGTTGCTGTCGGAGAGCTTCTACCTCCCTATTTTGTTTTCTTTAGGATTTTATACTTTTCCTTGTTGGTGTTTTTCCTCCTGCCTACTTAAGCAGGTAACAGTCCTCATCTCAGCAATCCTATCTCTGTCTCTAGTTTCACCTTTTTCTTTTTACTTGACTCTATGGACTTTCTCACAGCTGCTTCTCATAAATTGACAATTTCTTCTGGAGTCTGAGCCAAGGTTATGCACCTGGGCCATATCAGAAGTAGGCCTTGGGTCTTTGTACCACCAGCACCTGGACCTCTAAGGAGAGGGAAGCGGGGGTGACAGGGAGAATAGGGACATGGCATGTTTTGAATGTGTCTGGCTCATTGTAGTTCCAAAGTGTGACATCGGAGAGTAGTCCTATTTCATGAAGTGTATCTGTTCCTGTTAGTTTGATTTTGAAACATGGATTTTAAATAGTTGAGAACGTGCAGAGGAGTTTTCAGTGGTAGGGACTTAAGCTTCCACTCCAAACTAATCTTACAAGGCTAGAGCTTGCAGCAACTTTTCACAAACCTTGAAGATGGGGATGCAACAGTTTAGAAAAGGTGTAAGTTACTGTCATCATAGCTTTTTGCTTTGGGACTCTAACAATATTCTGCTTCTACTATTTCCCTTCCCTCCTAGATGCAACGGGCTGCTTTTACGTTACCCCAAGCGATGGAACAATTTGAAAGAACTTCCTCAAGTTCCTGATACAGGATACCACGGCAGTTTTATTTGCTGTTGTTTCTGTCTGCATTTATTGTAACATTCCCTTTATTTTTTCCACTTTTTTAGGTTTTGTATTGACTCAGAAAATAGAATTGGTAGTAATGGAGTAGAGGAAATAAAAAGTCATCCATTTTTTGAAGGAGTGGACTGGGGACATATCAGGTACGTATATATACATACACACACAGACATTTTATAGAGAGAATAAAAGCCATGAAAGCAAGAATTTTATGCACTATGATGTCAAGGATAATTACTTCCAATTTATCTTTTATTTCAAAAGGCAGCTACTGGCAGTAGGTGGGTGACAGCGAAGGTTTTCAGGCCTTGCTGACATTCATAGATCTGATCAGAGTTTAACTGTCTTGAGATGCCCCAAGAGTGCCCAGGATGGAAAGAAATTGTGGTAGGGTGGCTGTGTTATTCCTGATGTATATGCTCTGATACCAGCAGAGAGCTCTTCTTCCAGTAGTAATGGGCTCTGCAGCTATTGCTATAATTGACTTTGTAATAGGAGCACAAGAAAAGCAAACTCTATTCTAAAAATGCAGGGGAAATAGATGAATGAAGAGGAGAAGCAGCAAGCAGGAGAAAAACACAGGGCATGTCTTTACTGCACGCTGCAGATACTACACCTGAGTGAACCAGAATGTCTACAGAGCACTGGGCAGAGGCACTGACTCACCTCAGAGTCGCAGGCTCTGTGGCCAAATTCTGCTGGGCCAAGCCTGGGTAGAGCACCTGGCCCAGGCAGCTGTGCAGTTCCAGCCTGAGCTTGTGCCTGCAGCTGCTGAGCTACATCTGCACGTACTCAAAGTGGTAACACCCTTAGAGCAGACTTTGGTGGCCCCACAGATGCCATCATTTCAACTGAAAGTTACTGTTCAGCTCTTTCAGGTTTGAGGTAGTCTGCTCTTTCAGTAATACTGCAGTTTTCTACATGAAAATCCATATTGTGGGCGTGTGATTGTCCAGCTCTTACACTTCTCATTTCCTCTGGTGCACAAAGCCTCATTTAACTTATATTTTCAGTGTGGGAGACATTAATAAGCAGCAAAAGCAGTAATATATCTGTTCATGCCACATTTGGCAACCTGGCAAAATGGTTTCCCTGTTCCACCCAGAAGCGGATTTAATTGTAATTGTAATAATTACAACTGTAATAAGTTTACAGGTGTAAATTAATGACTTTCCCACAGTACCGTGTTCCAGTTTGAACGCTTTCGTGGGACAGATCACTTAAGCAACTTCGAAAGCCACCTTCAAACTTCTTAAAGGGCTGCCTAATTGTTAAGCTAATAAAGCAGTAACATGTCAGAGCCAACTCATTTTGGATGACAGATACTGGCAACTGAGTGTCAGAAATAGGAGCTACAGTCGAAAGGTATTTGGATGAGGTCCAGGCTGATGAGCGCCGGAATTGTAAAGCAACACATCTGATGGCTCCAAATGCAAGTAAAATCCTGCTTGGCTGGGCAGGCTGGGTTTATGAAACGAAGGTAACCGCAGTGGTTCTTGGTGACAACCAAGATTGTAGCGATAGCTATATGACAGATAAGTGTGGAATGCTGTTTCAGTTAATGGGAAAATTATGTTTTCCCCAAGTTTGCCAAGAAGATTCTAATGCTAGATAGGAAACCAATAAATCTCCCCATGATGTCAGCAAACAGGCAAGTCAGATACATCTCTGATGGACTCACTGGAACCTTTGTGCTTTAAATTAAAGGGATGTTGTAACTGTAAAAAGCTAAGTTAAAACCAGAACTTAATGTATCTTTTCCTAGCATTCACTATTCTGGCATTTATTTCTATTTGCAGGGAAAGACCAGCTGCAATCCCTATAGAAATCAAAAGTATTGATGACACTTCCAACTTCGATGAATTTCCTGAATCTGATATTTTACAGCCAGGTGAGGCTGCCATTGTAAATTCCAGATTTCTATCTATGACATGCCAGAATACTCTGTCATAGACATAGACAGAATACTTGTCACCATCCCTGGAAGTATTTAAAAGACGTGTAGATGAGGCGCTTAGGGACATGGTTTAGTGGGCATGGTGGCGTTGGGTTGACGGTTGGACTTGATGATCTTGGAGGTTTTTTCCAACCTTAATGATTCTATGATTCTATGATTTATATACTCCACAGATGCTTTTGTTGTTGTGGTTTATATTCATTTTCCTGATACCCTAATCAAGGTAATACACAGACTTGATCTAGAGACTTTCTTTCAAATATAAATGTAAACCTATGATCACTCATAACTTCTACTTCCTTAGGACTTTGGAGGGAAAAAAAAAGCCCACAGATTTTAACAGTTAAATCTAGTAGTAAAAATGGTTTGCATATACAGTGAGCACAGAAAACAGTCCAGTTCTCTACCATACAGTCTGTCTAACCAAAATTCTGGTAAAACATTATGCACTGATTTGCTTTTGATCTTTAGTGACTTTTGAGTTTCAGGCCAAACATAAATGTTCACATATTTGTGGGCAAAAATTTTCAGACAGATGATTATTTAACATAGTGATTTATGAACCTGAGTGGCTCTGCAAATCATTTAAGTTTTTTTTAATTGTTAATTTCTATTGGCAAGTAGTAGGAAATTTTTATACATAAAAGGCTTGATTCTCTGACATGCCAAATTCTCCCAGCTCCCACTGTTTTCAATTAATTATTAATGGCTTAAAGATAGGCAGATATATAACAATGATTAATTGATGACAGGTAAGTGTAGATGTGCTAACAACCATAAGAATTATCAAAAAGCTGGGGTTTTTTTTTCTGAAATGGCTTTTATTTAATGGCAAGGAAGTTTGTCCTTTTAATGCAAAAGCAATCAATCTCCAGTGCCTAAGTTAAGCTGTTTAAGTCCATATTTGGATAACGCCAAGTAGATTTTGGCATTTCAGACCCACTGAAAATGTTACTGTACATCTAGATACCTAAATACAAACTTTGATATCCGTGTGTTTGGCATCTTGAGTTGAAAATATTGTTATAGAACTCTAAAAGCAGCAACCAGAGAGCTAAATGTAGAAGCCCGCTGCAGTAAATGTCCGTGTGCAGCACACCAGCCACGTGGGCTGTTCATAAAATAAAAGGAGGCTGTACAAGTCTCGCTGAAGCTATAAGCAGGTAGGAAGTCCTAGGAGAATAATATGTGCATGATATGTGTAGTTCTCTTGGGAGAACTTGGATATATCTTTTTCTTTTGTTTGTGGTGAGGATAACACAGTATGTACATATGTGTTTGTTGTGCATGGAGCATCCTAAATGTTATGTTTTTCATAATTGTATATTCTGTGGGTGTGTTAGGGGTTCCTGTCAAGGTATGGGAGCCTGTTATGGTGTGTAGACATAGTAAAAAAAAAAAAAAAAACAACACCCTTTTTCCACTTTAGAGAGATATGCTGAAATTATAACTCTTCTCAGACCACTGACAAAAGGCAACTGACGCGATGAGAAACAGGATTTCCTCAAGGAATTTCTGCTGACTAGAGAAATAAGAGTTCAGGGCTGTTTATGTCAGTGCTCTGTGAAAAGTCCTCTCAGAAGCAGTGCTGTTTTTAATTGTTTTGTTTTTACTTTTGTTTCTAAATTCTAGTGCCAAACACAACGGAACCCGACTACAAATCCAAAGACTGGGTTTTCCTCAATTATACCTACAAGAGGTTTGAAGGGCTCACGCAGCGTGGCTCGATCCCTTCCTACATGAAAGCCGGGAAGTTGTGAAACAAAACACAAACCCACAAAAGAAATAAAAATACAAACCTCAGGTAGCTGCATCACCAGACCCGCTTGGCGTTAGTTATCAATACATTGACTCTGATGCGCATCAATTTCACAAGGAAATTCTACAGGATTAGGATTTCTAAGACTACTACAGGAATTAGTTGGCAGTGCCAGCTGGCTTTTTTTTTTAATATTTGAATATTTTTGTTAACTTTATTATACAAAGGTACTGGAATAAAAGGAACGTACATCCCTATAACTGCACTGCCTATGTGTGTATAACGGTTAATTATGCCTCTCTGTACTGTGGCTTTGTTTGTACTGTAAACCATCTAATCCACCCAGGAGTAAAACATATCATTTTATGCAGCATTGTTCTTATACTGCTTACCTGGTGGGTTTTAGATATGCAGTATAAAAAACCATTGCCCACATTTGCAAAATTCTCTGAGCAGTTGCTCAAGGGTGTTCCAGTTGTGGTCTGCAGATACCCCATGAGTGTGGCAACATTGGATTATTTTAAATAGCAGTGTCCTGTGGGGCCTACTTGTACCCTGACTACCCTCGCTCCTCCCCAGTGGAGGGCTTTATCAGCCGATCATCCCTTCTTCTCTTTCTTCCTTTTTCCACTCTGTGTGGTGGTGAGACAGTCCCTGTGACCTGTTTAGTGGTATTTCTGCTTTAAATGATAGCTGATGGGTATTATATTTTAAGATGATGATACCTGTTGGCGACTTCAGAAGAAAAAAGGAATCTGAATAAAAATGATAAAGATTTTTAACAGAAGGGCATTTTTTTTTCCCTGATCCCAAGTTCTGTAAAGATGGCAGAGTTTCCAGG